GGTAGTGGTAGTGGTAGTGGTAGTGGTAGTAGTAGTAGTAGTAGTAGTAGGAGTAGTAGTAGTAGTAGTAATAGTAGTAGCAGTAGTAGTAGTAGTAGCAGTAGTAGTAGTAGTAGTAGTCGTCGTTGTAGTAGTAGTAGCCGTAGTAGTAGTAGTCGTCGTCGTCGTCGTCATAGTAGTAGTAGTAGTAGTCGTAGTAGTAGAAGTAGTCGTCGTCGTAGTAGTAGTAGTATAGTAGTAGTAGTAGTAGTAGTAGTCGTCCTCATAGTAGTAGTAGTAGTCCTCATAGTAGTAGTAGTAGTAGTCCTCATAGTAGTAGTAGTAGTAGTCCTCATAGTCATAGTAGTAGTAGTAGTAGTCGTAGTCGTAGTCGTAGTAGTAGTAGTAGTAGTCGTAGTCGTAGTGGTAGTAGTAGTAGTAGTAGTCGTAGTGGTAGTGGTAGTGGTAGTAGTAGTAGTAGTCCTCATAGTAGTAGTAGTAGTCCTCATAGTAGTAGTAGTAGTCCTCATAGTAGTAGTAGTAGTCCTCAGTAGTAGTAGTGGTCCTCATAGTCATAGTAGTAGTAGTAGTAGTAGTAGTAGTAGTCGTAGTCGTAGTAGTAGTAGTAGTAGTAGTAGTCGTAGTGGTAGTAGTAGTAGTAGTCGTCGTAGTCGTAGTGGTAGTGGTAGTGGTAGTAGTAGTAGTAGTAGTGGTAGTAGTAGTCGTCATAGTAGTAGTAGTCGTCATAGTAGTAGTAGTCGTAGTAGTAGTAGTAGTCGTCGTCATAGTAGTAGTAGTCGTAGTAGTAGTAGTAGTAGTCGTCGTCGTCGTCGGCGTGCTTGCGTTACAAACAGTCGCACCTTCTCTTGCCTCTCCCTCCTGTCTTTTCCCCCCTACCTTTCGTCCCCCCCCTCTCAAGTTAATCTAGGGTTGACATTATATCATCTGATTGGTGGTTTGGAACTAACATAGCTATTATGGTTTATAGGTGATATATCATGATATCTATATATATATATGGTTGGTGGTTTGGAACCATGGAATGGATTATGACTTTCCATATATTAGGAATAGTAATCCCAACTGACGAACTCATATTTTTCAGAGGGGTTGAAACCACCAACCAGTGATAATATATATATATAATATGATTATATGTGAATCTATTGGTTGACTCTACATCCTATGTGAATCTATGATGAACGCAAATCAGCAGGCTATGTGCCAAAATTATGATCAGATGTGAATTGTTTTGAAAAATACTTTGATTATCTTTGATTATTGCTATTGCATCAAAACGCATGTCTCGGGATTCTAAGCCACAGCCATCAACAACCATGGGATGTTCAAAGAGAATATGCTGTTGATTCTGGGTAAACCTGAAGAGTAGGTGGCAGGATTTTGGGTTGTAAATAGCGAATTCTTTCATACCCCCTTTCTGGGTGAATTTGATCACGACCTCACAGCGTGACCTCACGGAATGTGATGTGGAAACTATCCAACAATAGCCACGCTCTTCAGCTTGGTGAAGTATTCTGATTCATCGAGCCCTATGGCTCGAAAGCAGCTGTGTGATGTTTGGTCCAGTGGAAGCTGCCAGAAGACGGGCAATCGGTTCTGACTGCTGCTTTTGCAGAGATGTTTGGTTTCAATCTTCAGCATTCTTCAGCTTCATCCACTATGACTTAGTAGCCTCACTTGTTTGGTTTAATCAAACCTCTCTGTCTGTGCGTCAACACATTCTAAATTGACATATTCCCTTGTTTAAATCTCCATTTGCTTAATTGACAGTAATTAACATTGAACATCTTTGAAGTCATTTGGCAGTGTGTCAAAACCTTGTACCCCTGGTGAACATCAAAATAGCTGGTAAATGGATGTTCATCCCCCTAAAAATGGTATTAATAGGTATTGATCCATACCCGTTTAAATAAACCCATGTTATTCCATGTTTCCTCTTGACCTTGCCCACTTCTTACCTTGGAGGGTCTCGGTGCCGAGGTGAATTATCGTAGCTTGACCGCTGTGATGTACATCAACTGTGAGGGCGACTTTCAAACAGCCGAGGCGACAATTTCGCTTGGTGTTTCCATATGGGGATGGGTCAAAACCCTGGTACCGTGCCGTGAACCCCAAGTCATAGCTGGGATTTATGGATGTTCATTCCCCTAAAAATGGTATTAATAGGTACTGATCCATACCCATGTCTAGGAACATCGTCGGACCAAAACTGTTTTTTTTCGGAATTGTGGCCGTATTTGGCTGATGTGGTTGATAACCTATGAAAAAATCATATGGGGCATTGGCTGATGTGGTTGATTTATATCATTATATCATATCATATATATATGTCCCGGAAAAGATCATCCAGTGAAAATGCGAGGATGTGGTTGATCGCAAGAATCCAGCCGGAAGTGGGTAGCAGCAGAAATGGGGTATAGTAGTCTGGATAGTGCTCCTTGGTGGTCAATGGAGTGTGGAGAGCAATGGCTGGGCCAACCCTGCGAGAACTCCCTGCATTTCTGAAGAGCTGTTTTTTGGTTTGGGCAGATATGGAGGTTTCCTAAAATATGGGTACCCCTAAATCATCCATTTTAATAGGAGTTTCCATGATAAACCATCCAGCTATTGGGGTAGTCCCATTGAAACCCCCATTTTTTGCCACTGGGTTGACCTTGTTTGGATTCCCACGATTCTGTAAAAAGCCTGGACGAAAAACCACTTGCTCTCAGGCAGTGGTGTCAGAAAGTGTTGAAACAGAGTACCCTCTGGTAGACAAACATATCTATTGAAAATGGCCATTTATAGTTGATTTACCCATTAAAAATGGTGATTTTCCATAGCTATGTTAGTTTACCAGAGGGTAGCCTGGTCTGGTCCTTTGTTATGAAAAAAAATCGATCAAGATCTCACTGACTTGGTCCGTATACACCAACTTAGCCTTCATGATTAGAGGAAAATAGACAAACAAGATGTACAAGTCGGTCCAGCACAAGCGTTGTTACGGATTCTTCCTGATAACTACAGTAACTACCGTAATGATCATGAATGATCCAAGATAATCCCAACATCGAGGGTAAATGTATATGGTATTTCCCATGGTATTTCTGATTGGTGGTGACTGGAACCATGGAATTTTGAATGACTTTCCATTCAGTTGGGGTCATGGAAAATCATCCCAACTGACTCCATCATTTTTCGGGGGTTGTAGGTCAACCACCAACCAGATATAGATATATATATATACATCCCATCATTAATCACCATATATAAGCACTATTATTGGTATTATAACCACTATTATTGGTATTATAACCACTATTATAACCACTATATATTATAACCATATATAACCCATATATCACCACTATTATTGCCATTATAACCACTATTATTATATATCAGCCACCAACCAGATCTACCGGGTCCCAAGACTTGGATCGATCCGGCGTTCGTTAGGACGGTGGTTCCCTACGCTGTTTCGTGGATGCGGCCGCATCGGATTTCACCGGGGCTGCTTGGATCCGAGGTGGTCGAGGTTGATAGATGTTGATAGCTTTTTTGAAGCTTGGGAGTCACAAACCCCAAATGGATCCTTAAATGGGAGCATCAAGCAGGAACATGCCTTCACTGAAAAAGCATCCCATTTATCCATTTACTGTAATGTTAACATAGCGGGGTGCCTTGAGATTTGAATATCGAAACACTTTGATGTTAATCGACATCGACGAATTGATTTTCACCAACAAGAATTGGATGTGAACGCTGTTTGCTGGGTAAAATTCACTGGAGAATGGAACGTGAAGATGGCTTTATTCTTCAGCTGTAAGATTGGCAATAAGATTCGGATTTGAATATCAAATCTGAATGTTCATCGACAAAATTGGATTCAAGCAGAATCAGGGAATTTAACCAACAAGAGCTGTTAGCGCCAGGGAAACATTGTTGAAGGGGACGTTAAACTGCATTTAAACTGCTTGAAAGTGATGCAATCAGAACTGAAAACACATTCTATTGAAACGACGGTATCAAAATTGATCAAAATTGATCAAAAGGCCATGGAAGTGCCTGACTTTTTCGGGACCTATGGCGGGAGACGACATCTTCTGCGAATGGCCCTTCTCCAGAGATTCGGAGCCCGAGGAGATGGAGCACCTGGAGCAGTTCAAAAATAATGATTTAGCCTCTGGTAAACGTTTACATAACTATGGAAAGATCCACCATTTTTCATGGGAAAAACCACGATTTCACTGGCCATTTTCAATAGCTATGTTAAATTACCAGAGGGTAATATGATTTATATATATACAGCATTATATAGCTATAGAAGTGGGGACTAGCTGATCCCCGGCCCCAGCTACAGTAAAAGTTCTTCGTTGTTTGCAGAGTTCATGATTTGGAAACTGGACAGGGCATTTTTTTCGTGGTAATTTGCCCTTTCTGAACACCCCAGACACAAACAACGTTGATCTCCTTGAAATGATGATGTCCCCTGTGTTGGGGAGTATTGAAGTTTGAAAGTACCAGTAGTACCGCACGGTCGGCGGTGGCGGAAGTTTTTTAAAAAATAGGAAACCGAAAAAGGAGAGATTGGTTGTTGTGAATTACGGATGGCAGAGCGAAGCCACTGATGGATCGAAAGGTGGTTGAGGTCTCCTCTCTTTCTCTCTCTCTTTCTCTCTCTTTCTCTCTCTTTCTCTCTCTTTCTCTCTCTTTCTCTCTCTTTCTCTGATTATCTACCTACCTACCTACCTATCTACCTATCTACCTACCTACCGATCTATCTATCTATCTAACTATCTAACTATCTAACTATCTAACTATCTAACTATCTAACTATCTAACTGTCTGTCTGTCTGTCTATCTATCTATCTATCGATCTATCTACTCGTATGTATCTAAATCTACATATCTATCTATCGATCTATCTATCTATCGATCTATCTATCTATCGATCTATCTATCTATCTACCTGTCTATCTGCAAGCTTGAAAACGCAGCTCTTCCTCGAGACTTCCTCGATTTTTGAAATTGACAACGTCAAAAACGAAACAATTCTGCGAGACTTCTGCATTTTTCAAACTTGACAACGTCAAAAACGAAACAATTCTGCGAGACTTCCTCATTTTTTTAGTTGACAACATCAAAAACGAAGCAATTCTGCGAGACTTCTTCATTTTTCAAAGTTGACAAGAGCAAAAACAAAGCAATTCTGCGAGACTTCCTCGATTTTTGAAATTGACAACGTCAAAAACGAAACAATTCAGACTTCTTCATTTTTCAAACCTGACAATATCAATAACGAAGCAATTCTGCGAAACTTCCTCATTTTTCGAAAATGGAAAGTTGAGTGCAGAGCTGACGGCCTCGTACCGTTGCGTTTTGCGATTTTTCCAGTCCACCTGTCTAAAGTACTGCGCCTGCCACGAAAAAGTGATGCCAGGTCATACGAAGTGCTGCACCTGTCACGCAAAATCATCTCAGCAAAACTGAGGATCTGAGGCTCCAAACTGGAACCCCTCTCAGGAAATCAGCGCCCGGACCTCCTAACAGCTCTGATGAAGATGTCTCTTGTACTGCGCCTTCCACGGAAAATGCATCTTTGCAGATCCTCTTCAAATGCCCCACGCCTGCCATCGTTTTTCGAAATGCTACAAAACCCTCACGTTTTGCTCACATTTGACAAGGTCCACAATCCCTTGCACCTGCCACGCGGAGCTACGTCTGAACGTCCAAAAGTGGTCCGAACCCCTGGTGTTTTTAACATTTTGACTTCGAAATGTGCTTCGCGTCACAACGGCGTGCACTTTTTCGACATCTCAACTTCCAAAAATGGTCCGAACGTGAGGTGCTTTTAGCTCTTTCACTTGCAAATGTGCTTCGCGCCACAACGGCGTGCACTCTTTCGACATCTCAACTTCCAACAGTGGTCCGAGCATGGTGTGCTTTGCACATTTTGACTTCGAAATGTGCTTCGCGCCACAACGGCGTGCACTTTTTCATCTCTCATCTGGCCGCCGCTTTAGCGAGCCTACTTTTCGACCCTCCGGAGCCACAAAACATTGGAAAAACACAGTGCTTCGCGACTTTCCTACCTTTTCGCGCATCTGAGCTTCTTTCTTCTGACTCTTTGTCTTCTCTGATCTTCTCTCTTCTACTCTTCTCTTCTCTCTGACTCTTCCCGTCTCTGCTTTTCATCTGTCCATATTGTCGGAAGTTTGACTTCTAAACTTCCTTCGACTACTTTTGGGAACAGTTCCAGGTGTAATATGTTATAATATGTTGTAATTTTAAGAAAAAACGAAAACCAGTTATGAGCCATAGTTCCACCATGTTCCACCAGTGCATGTGGCTCCAATCACCGGGGGCTGACCCCGCTACTGATCGTGTACTGAAGCCCGAGGCCGGGCGAAGCGAAGTTTAATGCTGGAGTTATGATCAATCGTTGAGGGGGTTGTCGATGGTTGTTGTATCTTGGAATAGTTAAAATATGTTTTAATCCCCATAAAAGTTCAATCCTCAGTGATGAATTGCATTTAGCTGTGTTTTCTGGGGTTGTATCACAAGTTGTATCTAGTGTAGTGCTTCAGCAGAGAAGGGTATGTGGCAAGGAGCTGCTTGGAGCAATGATGAGAATGCCAAATTGGAAGCTAAGGGGCTTGGTGACCCCGCACAACAACTTGCCACATAGAACTGGCGCCCATGGGACTGTGGTTTTCAGCAGCGAAGATGTCATAACGTGTCCAAATTGTCCCAAAAGAGGTGTAGAAAGGATTGATGAGTAGAGATGATTGAATATATTAAATTACGGAAATACCAGAAGATATCTCAGCATGACCAACACCTTTGGTGTCCTACGCCCTCACTCCGAGGCTTCTGCGAAAGAGATCCAGGACCAAGCGAAGTGACACCACTCAAAACGTCAAGGATAGTGCATAAATATGGGGGGGTTCCTAAAATATGGTTACCCCAAACCATTGGTTTTCCACATGGTTTCAAAGTTGCCGGATGATTTTGGGGTACCCCCATGACATTTTGGAAACCTCCATATGTGTATAATTGTGTGTAGTATTAATCAATAATGATTCATGAATGATGTCATAGCTCATCATTGCCGTCCAACTGATGTCCAACTGTCGAGGATGTGAAACCCCGTGGAGGGCGAGCAGTGCTGTTTCCTTCAAGAAGCCTTTTGCACGAGGCACTCAGCAGCGACTTTTTTGGACACTGTTGGCGTATCCTTTGGGCAGTGGACCTACAACAAGCATCCGAAAACCGGTGATGTGTTTTGTCTAAATCATTTTAAGGAGTAAAGGAGAATAGCCCTTGCACACTTGGTGACAATGCATGCCGAATGTCAAACTTCATCGCTGCGAGCCCATGACAAGTTCCCCTGATGTTATGGGCTCAGAAGTACCAACGGGAAATCCCTTGGAAATGGTGAATCGATCAAATTGTTTAAAAAGTCATTGCAGATGGTAGTCCAGATCATTGTGTTAACCATATTTAACCATATACATATACCAATATATCCAGTTGTTAATAACAATTGTTAACCATTGTTAACTATATTTAACCATTATATCCAGTTGTTAATAACAAAGTGATCATTATAGATCATCCATCCATATCATTGTAGATTCCCGTTGTATCACCAGGCAACCGGACCATGGCGAATCGTTGCGATTTCCGCAGGTGCTCCCGAGCTTTCGCCGACGTTATGCCTTGACGCAGCATGCTTGGAAGTGCGGCCGCAGACATCGCAAAGAACGTCGGAAATCCACTAGAAGTAGCATATAAAAATCCTGGAACGGCTAGCAAAATGGTGAGTTTTCATGAGCTTAGTGGAAATATGATGGTGATAGAATGATATACAGATATACAGTGTATATATGTTAACCTACCTGGGGGTGCAGTTGGGGTTATTAAATGCTATTTATGGATATTGATGGGTTGAATTCCATGGGATTCCAACAAGTTGCCTAATGCAGGAGGGAATTCACCATGCTTTGGCTGCTTCAATCAGATATGTATGCGGTATGCGATGAAAATCAATCATCGGAATACTTCATGAGTTTCCTCTGTTGGATACAATTTGCCAGGGATGGCGATTTTTTGGGTGATTGTTGTTTTTCACTTAAGTTTTTTTTTGGATGTTTGTTTTTCTGCTTTTCTGCTTTATTTTACCTCCTTCTTTGCTGTTCTGCTTATTTGCTTCTGGGCTTATCTGCTTATCTGCTTTTCCTTTCTGCTTTTCCTTGTTTTTTACCTCTCAAGCCTAAATAAACACCAAGAAACATTGTATGTAAATACGCCCTAAAGAAACCCCAAACGAACCCCCAAACAACTAGAGCAACCCTAAGTAAGCCCCAAACAAGCCCTGAATAAGTCTGAAACTTACTTGTAGCCTAAACAAACCCTCAACTAACATTAACTAGATCCTTAACCAACCCTAAATAGATCTTAAACCAAACCTAAATAAATCATAAACCCTAAACTCCAAGTAAACCTCAAACCAACGATCCTAAAAAACCCTAAATAGATCTAAATAGATACTAGACCAAGCGTAAATAGACCCCAAAGCGAATAGATCGTAAACCAACCCTAAGCAGATCTTAAACCAAGCCTAAACAAACCCTAAACATTCCTAAACCAACCTATGGCTAGCCGAAAAAGCCCAAAACCAACCCTCAAACCAGCGCCAAAAAACACGAAGACTAGCCCTTAAAAAGCTTTCAAACACCCCTAAAACCAACCCTAAACCAAGCCCAAAACCAGCCCCAAATAAATCCTAAACCAACGCGAATTAAATAAACCCTAGTCGCAAAATACCATCCAACATGAACAGTTGGAGCAGCAAAATGCCATGGAAAATGACATGTTCGAACTCGAAAATGTTGCAAATACCGTTCACAGCTTCCAGCTTCAAAATGCTGCAAATAGCAAGGACAATTGCAGAACAGGAAATAAACAACTGAACGGAAAAAATGAATTCCCCAACCAATTCTGGACCGATTTGCCAGAGTAGGGAGGCTACACAAGTTGCTGGCGATGGTTGTGGGATGCTGTAATGTTCAGGAAAATTCCCGTTTGGAGCCAGCCCGGCTCGTATCAAATAACCCCAAGGCCCAAGGCAAAGCAACCAGAAGTCGTCATTTCTTGCTCCCCCATTTTCCCATTCCTGTGTGGTACACTTGTGTACATGTGGATGGTTTTTTGGCCATATTGAGGGATGCTCATACCCCCAGTGACAGTAGTAGGGGGTTATACTAGTAGGTTATATGAGAAATTCCCAGCTTCGCTCTAAGACTCCAAGATGAGGCTTTGGTTCGTCTCTCCACATGCAGGCGAATGAGGTGCCAACGGTTTCGTTCAAAGCGGGTGACACGTGGCAAGGGTGAAAACCATGTAACCCAAGTTTTTACATCAAAATAGTCGGTAGATGGATGCTCATCCCAAACATCCCAATGTCCCCTGTGCCTTGACATATTCCGATGTACCTTGATCTAAAGAAGTTGCCTGAAAAGAAACAGGAATCCTTTTCCAAGCATTGGTGAATTATTCCATCAAAGATGTGCCTTATTATTTTTCAAAAATTGTGTTCCATCATTCCATTCTATTAGTTGGTTATGAATTGTGATAATCCCCAATATGTACTACCCCTTATAATTTTGGTCAATCTTGGATGGATAGTTTAATCCTTTAGTCTTTTAGTATCAATGGGATTATCTATTAACCAGCTAAGATGTTTTTTGCAGGGTATCTAAGATTGGCCATGAAATGGAGGTACTGTACATTACTGTACCATATAAAGTTTTAAAGCCATAGAAATTTGGTGTTGGCTTGAATTTGAATTCTCACCACCAAATTTCCAGATGCCATTGCCAGGTGGAAGCTCGATCGGCAGACAAAGACGGTCTACCAAAATCAAAACAAAGAAACAGGGAAAGGCAAAAAACACCGAAAAAAACGATAAAATTTGGCTACAAACCTGGCCAAGAGGGACCCCGGGAAACAAATAGCACGAAAAGCAAGAAAACACAAACTTGGAAACTCAAAATCTTCATTTTACTGTTGCATCAAAATCAAAACAAGAAAAAACAGGGAAAATGCAAAACCACCGATAAAACCATAAAATTTGGCTACAAACCTGGGGAATTCCGAGAAGCACCAACGCTGTGTGCGACAATCAATCAATATTTGATAACAAAAAATAATGATAATGAAATAATTACTATATATATATATATTATTTGATTGATTATGATATTAAAAAATCTAATGATATTATAAAATGTCTAACATATTCGAATAATATATATATATATATATACTGTATATATATATGAGATGCGGTCAGAATAAGCGTGACTGCTTTAGTAGGGGAAATTAGGGGAGGGTAAAGTTGTGTTGAGACAGCGCACTAAACCATGTAAAGCGATGCCCCCCCCCCAAAAGCGTTAATTTGTAACCACATGAGAGCGCATTAAGCTTGGCGCAAACCAAGCAAATATTGGTGCGCCCTTATGCGACGGGCAAAATTGATGAAAATTAAATTTTGAACGTCTTCATTTCTTGCAATTACTATATTATTTTTTTTTAAATAATTGAACCGATACCTGCATGTTTTGAAGGCGGTCCCTGAAATCGGTGAACCACCTCATTTTCTCGCCTCTGCCACCGGCAGACTCGGACTCCGAGATAGCGATGGAGAGAGAGAGGGAGAGAGATGTGAGTCTTGTGCAAAATTGTCAGACAATTTTCTGCAAAAACAGATCGTGCGTTCCATTGTTTGCTCGCTATTAACATCTAGGGGTTCCTGGTTTCTATGGGATGTTTGTGGGAGTTACAGACTTACCTAGCAGGAAAGATGTGAGACACTGCAGCCAGAAAAAAAAAGTGTTTGATGGATATGAGCGAGTATGATTTAGGCAAACCTTAAGGTAAACAGTGGCTTCATAAATTTTGACATGCAATATTACCCCTAAATGCATTCTTTGTCTGATATCTCAGCATAGATTTGCACCCATCCTCTTCAGGAGCATTCTTCATATGCAGACCCTTTTCCTCTTATGTTTTTAGGTTGAATTGCATCAGTTATTCTCATCAACAAAGGTTCAAGATCGATCCTTCATTGTTTTGTAATATCCTGATATGGAATACCCATATTTAACCAACCCCAATGTTGGCCAGAAATAATTAAAGGTTTGTGGCGTTGCCTGCTGGGTTTCCCAATCTTACCTTCTCACGGCCTGGAACCGATGAGACGATGCTCAAAGCTGAAGAAAATGCTTGAAGTGACCGTAGCTCTTCCCAGCGGTCGCAACGCTGGTCGGCTTTCAATTCCGCAGTCCTCCAAAGTAGGGGAACTGAAGGTGCTGGCCCAGAAATCTTTGGGACAACGCTTCGCAAGGCTTCCTGGATGGATCTTAATGGTGATTTTTTTCCGGAATGCATAACCAAGGGTTCGCGTTTTACTCTGGGGGTCTGGGGGTTGGGACGTGTTCGCTCGACGCTGCTTTTGTGTTCGCAACCGTTGGCAACCACCGTCAGAACTGTCCCGATGATTGCGCTATGGCCGTGCCTCTGGGGAGTGCTGCAAGAGTGGTCACTTTTTGAGGTTTCAAACGTTGCGTAACCTCGTTTCGCGCGGCAGGCATGGCACTTCGTGACATTCCAACATGTTTCAGAACGTGTCAAAAGCCGTTCTGTGTGCGATAGGCGCAAAATGGCGCAATACTTTTGCGTCTTTTTCAGAAGATGACTTCCGTTTTCCGTGGCAGGCGCAGTACTTCAGACATGTCGCGTTGCGTGTTTTTTGCGAATCCCAATGTCAGGGCTGCGTCAAGTGGTGACGACGTGCAAATTCCGTTGCACACTTCACGCACTATACTTTTGGCACTCCACACTCTACACTTTACACATCACACTTTACACTCTACACTTCACAGACAGCAATCTACACTTCACACTTGACACTTGACACTTCACACTCTACACTTTGCACTTCACACTTGACGCTTGACACTCTACAGTCTACACTGTACACTTCACGCTTTAAGCTTGACACTTCACTCTCTGCACTTTACACTCCAGACTTTAGACTTCACACTCCACACTCTACACTTCACACTTTTTACTTGACACTCCACACTTTTCTACTTTACGCTTTACACTCCACACTCTACACTTCATACTTTACACTCCACACTTTGCACTCTACACTTTTAAACCATTCAGTTTACACTCCACACTTTACACTTTGCACTTTAATAATTGCACTTCACACTTTACACTTGGCACTACACTTTACACTTTACAGTACATTCCACACTCTACACTCCACACTTTACACTCCACACTCTACACTTTACACTTTACACTCCACATTTTGCACTTTACACTTGACACCCAGCACTACACTTGCACTTTACACTTTACGCTCCACGCTCTACACTTTACACTCCGCACTCCGCACTTTGCACTCCACACTTTACACTTTACACTCCACTCTCCGCACTCTACACTATACACTCCACATTTCGCACTTTACACTCGACACTTGACACTCCACATTCCGCACTTCATACCCTACATACTACATTCCCCACTCAACGCTCCATTGTCTTCACCCTCTTCACACTCCACACTCTGCACCCCACCCCATTCCATACACCACAGTCTACAGTGCACTGATACGGAAACAGGTCAAACATGTACAAGACTGCAGACTGTTGAAAAAACGTGTTTCACAATTAAAGGACCGGATAACCCCACAAGTCAACTTCTTCCAATGATCAGACAAAGTGCATGAAGCGGCACGGAGAAAGCAGAAAGGACAAAGGAGATGGTGGAGGATCGATAATTTTAAAAGTTGTGTGTGAGAAAGTTGTGTGTGTGTGAAAGGTTGTGACATTGTATGTGTATGACAAAGTTGTGTGTGAAAGATTGTTTGTGACAAAGTTGTGTGTGAACGATTTGTTTGTGACAAAGTTGTTTGTGACAAAGTTGTTTGTGACAAAGTTGTTTGTGACAAAGTTGTTTGTGACAAAGTTGTGTGAAAGCTTGTGTGTGACAAAGTTGTGTGTGTGTGAAAGATTGTGCGTGACAAAGTTGTGTGAAAGATTGTTTGTGACAAAGTTGTGTGCGTGAAAGAGTTGTGTATGACAAAGTTGTCTGTGACAAAGTTGTGTGTGTGAAAGAGTGTGTGGCAAAGTGGTGTGTGACAAAGTTGTGTGTGAAAGAACTGTGTGTGACAAAGTTGTGTGTGTGTGTTAAAGAGTTGTGTGTGACAAAGTTGAGTGTGACAAAGTTGAGTGTGACAAAGTTGTGTGTGACAAAGTTGTGTGCGTGTGTGTGAAAGAGTTGTGTGTGACAAAGTTGTGTGTGAAAGATTGTGTGTGTGACAAAGTTGTGTGTGAAAGAGTGTGTGACACAGTGGTGTGTGAAAGATTGTGAGAAAGATTGTGTGTGACAAAGGTTGTGTGTGAAAGATTGTGTGTGACAACGATTGTGTGTGAAAGATTGTGTGACAAAGATTGTGTGTGACAAACGTGGAGGAGGAGGAGGAGGAGGAGCGGACAGGATACAGAACCAAAAACAAGAACCCCACACAAAGATGTGGGGAAAAATGTTTTACGTTGCTGCATCCGAGTTCGTTGGTTTCTCTTGTTTTAGATTCGTTTATTTGTTGATACACCATTGAGGGATTCTGATGGTATTAACTTTGGTTGATCCCGTAAGCCGTAAGCAAATCTGCATGAGGCTTGTGACTCCAGATGCGCGCGTCCTGACTGATCCAGCGCAATCCCTCGAGGATGCTGGCCTTAAAGACGGAGACCAGCTCACGGCAATTGTGGGACAAGCAAATTTGGCGTCAACTGACAAGGCTTTTGCTTCTTGGTGCTGCGGAGGTGACAGCGTTGTTACGTGGGGCGATGCGCATTCTGGTGGCCACAGCTCTGCCGTTCAAGATCAGCTGAGGAGTGTGCAGCAGGTTCAGGCAACAGATGGAGCATTTGCCGCAATCCTGGAAGACGGCTCCGTTGTTACATGGGGTGATCCACTTTCTGGTGGTGACAGTTCCGCAGTCCGAGATCAGCTGAGGAGTGTGCGGCAGGTTCAAGCGACAAGTCGGGCATTTGCCGCGATCCTGGAAGACGGCTCTGTTGTCGCGTGGGGTGATCCACGTTCTGGTGGTGAAGTCCCAAATGAGCTCAGGAGTGCCCGGCATGTTCAGGCAACAAAGGAAGCCTGGCATGTTCAGGCAACAAAGGAAGCATTTGCTGCTATCCTGGAAGACGGCTCCGTTGTTACATGGGGTGACCAAGGTTCTGGTGGTAGTAGCTATGAAGTCCGAGATCAGCTCAGAAGTGTGCAGCAGGTTCAGGCAACAGATGGAGCATTTGCCGCAATCCTGGAAGACGGCTCCGTTGTTACGTGGGGTGGTCCACGTTCTGGTGGTGACAGTTCCGCAGTCCGAGATCGGCTGAGGAGTGTGCGGCAGGTTCAGGCAACAAGTCGAGCATTTGCCGCAATCCTGGAAGACGGCTCCGTTGTTACGTGGGGTGATCCACGTTCTGGTGGTGATAGCTCTGCAGTCCAAAATGAGCTCAGGAGTGCTTGGCAGGTTCAGGCAACAAAGGAAGCATTTGCTGCTATCCTAGAAGACGGCTCCGTTGTTGCATGGGGCGATCCAGGTTCTGGTGGTAACAGCTTTGCAGTCCGAGATCAGCTGAGGAGTGTGCGGCAGGTTCAGGCCACAGACCGAGCATTTGCTGCAATGTTGGAAGACAACTCCGTTGTTGCATGGGGCAATGCAGCTTGTGGTGGTGACTGCTCTGCTGTTGAAGATCAGCTGATGGGTGTGAAGCAAGTTCAGGCCACGTCTAGTGCATTTGCCGCAATCCTGGAAGACGGTTCGGTTGTTACCTGGGGCTATCCACGATCTGGCGGTCACAGCTCTTCCGTCCAAGACCAGTTGAGGAGCGTGCAGCGGGTTCAAGCCACGCGAGAAGCATT